AGTCCCGCTTGCTGAGGTTCTGTCATGACACCGGGAACCTGACTCTGACCGTCAGACAAAACCTGAGGTGGAGCTCAGAGGAGAGCCGGCACGCTGACATCCTACTTCTCAGAGACCGGCTCAGAGATGAGGATTTCCTCAGAGAGGTGAGTCTAGGTTATCAGTGTTGTCTGCTGCTGGTAAAGGTAAGTAAACACATGATTATAACATAACAACACTACAGAGCAGATATGCAGCAGCAGATATAAACTTCTGATAGAAATTTGTATGCCGAAAATGAATAATTGTGCCTTTCCTGAGACCTTGCATATAAACATACACAAGCGGCAACTAATGTACCTAGAAGTACCATCAAAATAAGTTGCAAATTATAGTTAGTATAGTTTATAGTTGTAATTTTATATAAAAAGTATGATGAAAGCGTGAATATTACCTTATATTACCTTTCCTCCCACAGATCAAAGCTCTAAGGAGGGAACGCGTAGAAACCATCTTAGAGAAGGAAGAACTGGTGGATGATCCTACGGAGAACGGTATCATACCCTCTTCAATCTGTCTGCTTTGTGGGATTTGAGAGGCCGGGTTAAACTTAACTCCTCTCTTTTATGTTGCAGCGGTCTGCCATTTTTTATTTATTTTTTTGTTCTAGTGGTTTATTAGGCTAGATACTCCTTGAAGCAGGCCACAGTATTAATAGACATTGACTGCCCTCCTGTGGCGTTCTAAGCTATTGCAAGTCTGTAAAAAACATTAAGGTAGGGAAAAGAGACAATGAAACTACCATTGTATGTGTTTTGTGTAGTATAAACTTTCAACAGAGAATACAAGTGTTTTCGTCGTTAAAGTCTTATGTGTGTTCTGGTTAGCATCAATGAGCATTCTAGTATATTATGTGTATTTGATTAAGAGTGCAGTGAAAGGTCATATGATTATAAGCAACCAAACATTTCAGTCATAGATTGTTGTAATTTGAAATGTATGAATCACTGTAATAATACAGTGTGCAAAATAGCAGAGCAAACAAGCTATGTTTAAATGTAGTGCTAAAACTATTAGTTAAATAACTGATTCATCAAGTAGTTTATTGACAGGAAATTAACAGTTAAGTCATATATCAGGCAAAATGGCACATATTTGGTGTTTCTTTTTTCTTTCTTTTGCTTTATATAATTTCAAATGTTATAACTTTTGGTTTTGAAACAGGCAATTTAGAGATGGCTCAAATGATTAATCATCAATTATTCATTTATGTTTTATGATGAAAAAATAATTGAAGAAGAAGAATTGGAGAAAATTTTCATAAATTGTGTTATTATATTTCTATGTATTTTAATAGGTATATTTTGCAACTAGCAGTAAATATTCAGTATAAATAAAAAAAATGTAGTCACCAGGAAGAAATTTACAAGACTTTCACAAGATTGTTTGTGTCTCTCTCTCTGTGTAGTGTTCACCTACATATTTACAACATCTCCTTTGTCCTGTCTTTGCTTTTTGTTTCTCCTCCGCTCATTTATGTTTTTTGTCTCTAACTTTCTCTCCCAGCCTATATATCCTTTATGGGTCGCTGCCACTTCCCTCTCCTACATTTCCTGCCTTAATATTTTTATGTGACCCCAGGCCTCATATCTCAACCACCCAAACACTAATTTCTGCGCGTCGCTGCTTTGTTTCTGTCAAGCAGTCATACATTGTGTCCTTTGATCTGGGATGCACATGGTAGTTAAATGAAAAAAGAAAGGAGATCAAGGCCACACGGTAAAGATCTCCCCAGGTTATGAAAAGAAAAGAAAAATAAGACTTACATGGTACATACATCATTAAGAACTGACAAACATCTGTGCTTACTTGAACCTCTTTTGAAGTGTAATTGCTGCTGCATGGCTGTGCCTGAGTATGTTTTCTCTTCTTTCAGCACTGTACTCTGATATCAATGGAGGAACTTCTGCTGTAGAAGAAAATGTGAGTATTTGATGGAAGGACATGGCTTTTCTCATAATAATTCACATGCACAAAGATAGATAGATACTTTATTTATCCCGAGGGAAATTCAAGAGCTATGATCTAAATCATGACCAGAATATATTTTACTTTTACTGTAAATCTCTCTAGAACTTGTGTTGAAACAGCTTCAGCTGATGAGTCAAATACAAACATAAGTTACTTGCCCTAGTAGCAGGTGTAAATCCTGCTTTTCAAAATTTTAAACTCTCAAAGCTCCATTCAGTCTCCATGAACATCTGCATCAGCCAGTGGCAAACTGCGGTCACAGCTACAATAAGGCACTGACTGCCCCTCAATGCTCCACATTGCTTCACTCTCATTGTTAAGGTGTTGGAGTTGGCACCTTGCACGCACCACTGAATAAGTGACTTTGTGAGCGGACTTTGTGGAGAGGTGTGGCGTTTGCACATGATTCTGGTCATCCAATAGGACTTGTTTTATGTGATACAGATGGTTACCTAATTGATCTTACTTTGTCACACACCTAGGCACTCGCCAAACACTTGTGTTTTTGTACTTAGTTCTACTCGTTTTAGTTTTTGTGGGAAAGTCTCGCTGCTGGTTGGTGAAAGGTTCCCTATTTGTTCACTCAGGACTATGAGGAGCCGCTGATGTTCTGCCTGAATGAGGAGGAGGAAGAGGATGATCCGTCTCAGCCTGACTCTGGTAAAGATTTTATTGAAATTATTTTTAAACTTCCTTTCTCAGAAGCCTGTTTTTAGGTATGGTTTTAATTTTAGAGCTTGCGGTTCCTCAGCTGTAGATTGTGTTTTGTGCAGACTGAAATTGATCGCTGTTGTTTTAGGTGGTGTTATATTCATAGGAAGTTATCCAAGTACCTTCTAATCATTAAGTCACTCCAACCGCAGGAAACATTTCCTTTCCTGAACAGAACTTGGAACTCAACTCTAATTCTCGTCTATGGCTGTCTACCATCCCCACGGACTATAGGATCACATTTCAGCCCCCTGCTTGTCTTCCCTGCCTTCTCTGGACTTTTTTGGTGTCTTGTCACTCTGTGTTTGCAGTGATTGTGGCACCGAGAAGGAATCTTTTTAATACGTCATGCAGCAAATCCTGAGTCATCCTATTCCTGCCAGCAGTGACAGGGGGGACAAAAATGAATCCTAACTAGGTGGCTGAAGGTGGCTTCACTCTGATCCGCTTCTGGACAGGAAGGGAAGGATTTGAGAGTGGGAACATCCTGCGGGTTAATAATTGGCTTGTATTGCTGCAGAGCAGACTGATGCCTCAGTGTAAGAATGCTGCGGTTACATGCTGAGGCTTCAGGCTTTATAACACTTGGCACTGGACATCTGCAATCTTAACTTCCTGTGGCTGGTGTTGTTTTCCATGCTATATGGTTTAGCCATTTTGTACTCTCTGTGTCATGTGCGTATTTGTGATTGTGTGTTTGTTGGCTGGTTGAGGGCTTTCATATTTTCTGTGTAGTCTTTGAAGACTCCCTGCCTGTGACCTCGATCGATCCCTTAAAACTTTCTGTGGTTCAGACGAATAGCACTGGTCACTCCAATCCTGTTTTTGCCAAGTTTCCCCTCAATGCCGTGTTTGAGTTAAAAAAAAAAACCCTTGCTCAGACTGAAAATGACTCAGGTTTTATACATGTAATTTTTTCCGGGATTACAATGCTTATTTGACCCTTGAGGAATTTCAATTCCTCATTAGACATTCCTGAGTTGTCAGGCATTACAAGTGGCCGGCATGTTTTTATTTTTTTAACAAAGAAGTGAAGCACACATTGGGATTCCAGTCTGTTTTTATCACCTGTGATATGGCTGCTTGACTTCAGCTAATGCGTCATTGAACAGACACACATAACTTCTGTACCTGGAGCTTCAGCAAGGGATGAGGAATTTTGAGCATAGCTGTCATGTCCTCCCCCCTTCTTGATGTCTGCTCTTTCCCATCTCAAACTCAAATTACTGTAACTTTATTGGCATGACTGCAATAAAATAGTATTGCCACAGCAGGTTCACAATGTAAGTGTAATAGTTTTAACTTAAAAAAAAAAAAATGACACATTTCTCCCCCGTCTTCCCTCTGTCCTCCTTCCTCTTCTTTCCCCCACCCATGCCCTTCTAATGCCCCCAGAATTCAAATACCCCACCCAAAACACACACTTTCCCCCAAATACCTACATACACACACACAAACAGACAGACTCACGCACCCTTGCCCCCCGGGTCACATCCTCCCAGGTCAGCATTTTAATGTGAGTTTAGTGAACAAACAGCAAAGGCCACTTCATCCCGAGGAGCTCTGCTCTCCACAGCTTAAGAAGGAAGGAGGTCGGTGTGTGTGTGTGTGTGT